TCTCCAATTTTGAGTGGTTTGGTAGTGGTGGCCAGGCACCATTTAGTTCTTCTGGTGTTAGGGTCATGTAGGCTGAAGTTCCCATGGTCCACTAGTCCCTTGTCTAATTGCTTCCTTGAGTTTGATTTTCTTTATTCTTCTTTGCTCTGAATGAGGAGAGACCAATTGCTGCATCTTAGATGGCAGCTCCCAAGCATTTGAAAGTTTACAGAGCAAATTCATTTTCCATAGAGCACGTTATACACATTTTGTTTTATGACATTGACTGCAATCCGCACAATGTAACAGCTCTCTGCACTTTCTCCCTGTAATAGTTACCTCTTCCCTGAAGTTAGCTCTTCCCTGTGTCCTTCTTACCTGTGCATTCCTGCCCCTTGAACTGTCTCCCTGTGCAAATACTGCCCTTCTGTTCTCTCATGATTGATCGTTCTAAGGAGCATATCTACCTGGTATAAATGTTCACCCTATAGGGTGAACAATGCCTGTCTATTGTTTGGTTGGAAGCCATGGGGGTGAGTTCAATTCCAGGCCTGAAGGGTAACTAGGGGACATAGTCTTGGGGGTTTCACCTGGTCTTTTTTTATGATTTTGAGTTTGATTCCACATTATTCTCCCTTTTTCTTGTTCTTATTCCTCTTTTTTCACAGTAGTTATTATTTATTTAGGAGCTCTCATAGTGTAGTGCCTAAGGCACTTGACTGCTAACCAGAAGGCTGTTGGTTCAAACCACCAGCCACTCCTTGGAAGGAAGGTTGGGCAATCTACTACTGTAGTGATACTGCCTCGGAAGCCCAAGGAGGGGTCGCACTTGACGGAACAACAACAACAACATTATTTATTTTGTGCTTACAAAATAATAGATCTAGAAATATTTTATAGAGACAAAAAGAAATGATTCCTTTTTTTTTGTTGAGAATAATAATTAGCATTTTTACATTTGTTTCTTTCCCCTGGATAATCTTTGTTCCTCCTAAGGCAGGTTGTTCTGTATGGTCAACGTGGCTTTTCTCTTTTCTGATGCTGGTTTTCTGAATATGCCTGGCACTTGGTTGACCATTTGTATTTGTGAATGGAGAACAATGTTTGTATAAACCACCATCATTTCCTCTGTAGTTGTATAGGTCTGCTTCACCAACAGACTTCTCCTTTAAAAGGCTATATGTTTTATTATTAATTAAAAAAAAAATTTTTGTTGTGATTTGGGTGAAAGTTTACAGAGCAAATTCATTTTCCACTCAGCAGTTCATACATATTTTGTTTCATGACATTGAAAGCAATCCCCATGATGTAACAGCTCTCTTCCCACTTCCTCCCTGTACTTACCTCTTCTCTGTGTCTTTCTTTGCATGCATTCCTGCCCCCTGAGCTATCTCTTGTGTAAATACTGCCCTTCTATTCTCCCATGATTAATTTGTTCTAAGGAGTGTATCTGCCTGGTGTAAATGTTCACCCTATATGTCTGTGTATTGTGTGGCTGGAATATTACTAATATATTGACTCTGCTAGAAAATATACTCCCTGAGGAAAAGAATATTGTTGTGTTTCCTCTACAGGCTCAATAAGAGTCTTTTTTAAATGAATGAATGGGTAAATTAATGCTTTTGTACCGGGCTAGTGAATTGACAGGTAACTTTCTCTATAGTGTGTATATAAGGAACTGGCAGGCAGCATGGGAGTCCCCCACGATAGGAGAGCTTCATTTTAGTGGTGGTACATTTCAGTATATTTTATTTCTAGGAAGAGCTATCTTTCCCTGTCTTTTCTCCCCCACTGTATCCAATAGTGATCTACTTCCAAAAATCAGCCATTAAACTCTGTGGAGCACAGTTCTACTCTGACACACATAGGGTCTTCATGAATCAGACTGACTTGTTGGCAGCTGGGTTAGAGTCCCTGGTTTGTACAAACATTTAATATACTTGCCTGCTAACTGAAAGGTTGGAGGTTCCAGTCTACTGAGAGGTACCTCAGAAGAAAGGCTTTGCAGTCTATTTCTGGAAAGTCAACCACTGAAAACCCTATGGAATTTGCAGACATACTTATTTGTATGTGCTATAAAAATGACCATAGGCAGTTTAAAACTAACAGGGGGACAAAGTTAGGATAACTGCTTAGCTACAGCTAAGCATCCCGAGGGAGTGAATTGCTGGGCCTGTAGACTGGAGACCATGGTTACAGGGGACATCAAGCTTAATTGGCACAACGTAGTATACAAAAATATTGTTCTACATCTTGCTTTGGTGAGTATCTACTAGAGTCTTAAAAGCTTGCAAGTGGCCATCTAAGGCGCATTTATTGATCTCTCCTCATCTGGAGCAAAGAAGAGTGAAGAAAATCAAAGACCTATGGAAACAGTCCAGAGAGCAAATGGACCATAAGAACATTAGCCTATATGATCTTGAGACTAGAAAAACTGTTGTTGTTGTTGTTAAGTGCCGTTGAGTCGTTTCCGACTCATAGTGACCCCATGCACAGCAGAACGAAACACTGCCCGATCCCACGCCAGCCCCACAATCCCTGCTATACTTGAGCCCATCATCGCAGCCACCATATCAATCCATCTCCTTGAAGGCCTCCCCCTCTTTTGTCAACCCTCCACCCTACCAAGCATGACATCCTTCTCCAGGGAATGGTCCCTTCTTACAACATGACCAAAATAGGTGAGATGAAGTCTGGCCATTCTTGCTTCCAAGGAGCATTCTGGCTGCACTTCCTCCAGGACAGATCTGTTAGTTCTTTTAGCAGTCCACGGTACTTTCAGCATTCTCCGCCAGCACCACAACTCAAAAGCATCGACTCTTCTTCGGTCTTCTTTATTCATTGTCCAGCTCTCACATGCATACCAGGCGATTGGAAATATCATGGCTCGTGTCAGGCGCACCTTAGTCCTCAAGGAGATATCCTTGCTCCTCAGCACTTGAAACAGTTCCTTCGCAGTTGACTTTCCCAATGCTACACGTCTGATGTCCTGACTGCTGCTTCCATTGGCATCGATTGTAGAACCAAGCAACGTGAATTCCTTGACAACCTCAATCTTCTCTCCATTTATCGTGATGCTGCTCATTGGTCCAGTTGTGAGGATTTTTGTTTTCTTTATGTTGAGATGTAATCCATACTGCAGACTATATTCTTCAACCTTCATCAGTAGGTGCCTTAAGTCATCCTCACTTTCAGCAAGCAAAGTTGTATCGTCTGCATATCTCAGGTTGTTAATGATTCTTCCTCCAATCCTGATACCACGTTTTTCTTCATATAGTCCAGCTTCTCGGATTATTTGCTCAGCATATAGATTGAATAAGTGTGGAGAAAGAATACAACCCTGACGCACTACCTTCTTGATTTTAAACCATGTAGTGTCCCCTTGTTCTGTTCGAATGACAGCCTCCTGGTCAAGGTACAGATTCCTCATGAGTACAATCAAGTGCTCGGGGATTCCCATTCTACATGATACCTAACTACCAATGCCAACACTGAAAAATTAGAGATCCTGGATAGAGGGGGAGAAAAAAATGTGGAACAAAATTTTTTTTTTAAAAAAAGACCAGGTTTACTGGTCGGATAGATATTGGTGGAATCCCTGAGACTGTGGCCTCAAGTCACTCTTCTGGCCTGGAATTGAATTCACTCCTGTAGTTTACCTCTCAGCCAAACAATAGACAGGGCTAAGAGCTGAACTCCTATACCATTGAAATGTACTCCTTAGAACAATCAACCATGAGAGATCAGGAGGCAAGCATTCAGCACAGGGGAAAGGTAGGGAGGCAGGAATGCATAGGGAAGGACACAGGAAAGGGTGAGGAAGTGGGAGGAGGGCTGTTACACTGCGGGGGGGATGTTATCAGTGTCAAAAATTAAAATGTATGTGAACTGTTGAATGTAAATGGAATCTGCTTTGTAAAATTTCACCCAAATCACAATAAAAATAAAGAAAATGCTGTGGAGCACAGTTCTACTCTGATACACTTGGGGTCACCATGAGTCAGAGTCGACTTGATGGCAGTTGGTTTTGACGTGTCTGCTGCAAAGGTCTAGGGATACCTCAGTTTCTGTAGTGCTTCTCTCTCTGGTCCTAGCACCCTCACTTGAGGCTCTTCCAAGGAGATTTTTCATTGATAATTCTGTCTACAGTTGCCCTTTTTAGGGGAAGCTACAGGGAAGGATGCTGTGCCCTCCATCAGTCCTAGTTAATCCATCTGTTCCTGAGGCAGTACTTTAATAAAATGCCCTAAGCAAGACTTACCGCTGGCATCTCCGGACGTAACTTTCTTTGTGTTAATTTCTCCACTAAAATATGTCTGTCTTTTTTCTGTATTTCAACAGCTCTTTAAGATAATAGCACCTTTTTTTGTTTTCTTATGCTGTTAGAGTTCCAGTCTTTAAAAAATTATATATTTTCTTCATTACAATGGGAAACTGAGAGTGAGGGGATGCAGGCAGGGCATGTGTGCAGTCTGCTGTGAACTGGGCATCTCCAGAGGATTTGCCACTCTGAGTTATAGTTTTGTTCCAAAAGTTGTCTTTGAGGAATTCTGGTTTATAGGTGACCTGAAGTAACATGACCAAACCTGTAGTGCCCAAATGCTAATTGATGGTAAAGATTTTCATTCATTCATAGTGAAAAAAAAAAAAAAAGGTTATTTTGAGATTATGACCTTTCTATTTTTCTCTTAACGGTAAAATGTCTATTCTGAAAAAAAAAAAAAAGATAAATGATAATGTATTTTAAATGTCCTTACTTAACAAAAGTAAAAGTTGGCTCTTTTATGTCAGTACTTTTTATTTAATTTTGCAGGTATGAGAAATTCATAAATCTGCAACTGCTAGACTGAACTTTTAATTTCAGATTTAAATTATTATCTTTATTACTTAGAAGTGAAAACATGATCTTGACTAAAGTTTTCTTTATTCAAGTGCTGCTCCCCCCAAAAAAATCTATACTAATTTTAGGGTGAAGAGTTTAATAAAATCTTTAAAAACTGTTGTTTCCTTTACATAATAAGGCTTTTGCAGATATGCTGAAAGTAAACAAGACCTTGAAAAGTCTCAACATAGAATCCAATTTTATCACTGGAACTGGGATCCTGGCCCTGGTAGAAGCACTGAGAGAAAATGACACCCTGACAGAGATCAAAATCGACAACCAGGTAAGGGAGAGCAGGCAAAGCCACCTCTCAGGGTACATGGCGCCATGCAGAGTGAGTTAGAAGATGAAGTTCTGTGACTCTACTTGATGCCTTGTCTTTTCTGTGAGTTATAATTTGGCAGCTCTGTAGAGGATGTATGAGAGAGCATGTTAGCAATTAGCACATGCTCTCTCATGTTAGCACAGTTGGGCATCCTGAGGAATAAAGAGCCCTCTCTGCCCCCAGCTCCAGGCCACTCAGGCAATGGATGACAATGGAAAGGAGATGGTGGTGGAAGTGCTGACAGCTGTTCTCTACTAACCATCATCATCATTGCCTCTTAGAGTAACTCTCAGCCCATTCTTGTCCCAGCCTTACTTTTGCCTCTTATTGGGAACATGGCTAGATGGAGAAAGCAGGGTGGCCATGCCCAGAGACTCTGACTCCTTATCCCTGGTTGGAGGCTGCCAGAGCCAAAAGTACAGACTTGGGCTCTTGTAGTCCAGAGCTTCCCATAGGAAGCCTATTTAAAGCATCCAGGTTTAGAAGCATCCAGGAGTCTGGCTTGGAGTAGCAGGCCTCACCTCATAGTGTGGTCAGAATCTGGACTCTGTTCCAGTACATCTTAGGTTCCCAGCCAAAAGCCAAAGTAAACTGCTCATCCCTAGAGCCACCATTCCCTGTAGCTTGGAGGCCTCTTTTTCCTGGCATCAGGCTGCAGTGCCTTTGCAGTTGCTTTGCTGGTTCAGTGGGCTCCTGCCCAATGACAGCAACACTGTTATCAGCTGCTTTGCTATGCCTTGCTCCACTGGTTACAAGAAAGTGTCTGTGATGGGGACTCAGTGGGTCTGAGAGTCTAGACAACTGTATAGTGGAGAAAACAGGCCCTGGAATGGTCTAGAAAAAGGAGAGAGCAAGGAGACTTGTTCTGTGAGTATTCCCTTTATAGGGTGGTGGGAGGAAGTGTGAGAGAAGTGACTTCAGAGCATCCCCTGCATGCCTGGGTCTTCATCTGGAAATTCCCTGGTCCAGACCTTCCAAGATCTGATAAAGCCCCGGCCCCTCTCAAGACCGAAATACCCAGCAGTTCCCCTGGGGGCAAATGGGCCATTTCATTGCAGGCCCTCTGCCCCAGGACTCCTCCCGGGGCACATTGCAGGGAGAACAGGCCCTTCTTCCTTTTCACCCAGCCCCAGAAGGGATGCTTCACCAAAACAGTTCTCCTAAATGCAAAGGTCTGTGGAGGGCTGCGCCCTGGGAAATATGGCACAGGAGGCAACATACACTGAGGGGAAGCTCCCTGCTGTACACCCTGGTGTCTGTCTAGCTGCTAGTAAACTAAGAAAAAGGCATCAGGGAGTGGGAGAACAGGAAAACAAGCCAGAGAGAAATATGAAGTGAGTGAAAAGAAATGAAAACTCAGGGATGAATAGACTAATAGGGAAGAAGTTAAATGGACTTTTAGTAAAAATTTCCAGAGGGATCTAAGGTGGAAGTGGGTACCTGGTCTAAAGTGTGTTTACTTTTTTGTGTTGGTTTAGTCCGGTTTGAAACCTCATATCTGAAACATGTTGTGATATTCTGTTCCTAATTTCCTGCAAGATGCCACCTAATTAGAGTTGCCAGATAAAATGCCAGTTAAAATTGGATTTTACATAAACAGTGACTGCTTTTTTTAGTGTAAGTATGCTGCATGCAATATTTGGGGCATACTTATACTGAAAAATTATTCATTGTTTATCTGAAATTCAAATTTAATGGGGTGACCTTTATTTTTATTTGCTGGCACCCAGTCCTACACCCAGTGAATGAGCTAGAGTCCTAAAAATTTAGAATAGACCAGCTCTTTTTAATGCATATGAAGAAGATCCTGAAATAAAATCTGAACTTACTCTATTAAATTTCCTCTAAATCAGCTACCTTATCATGCCTCTTCAGTCATCTAGAAATAGAGTTGTGTAATTGTTCAACCTTAGTCCCCTAATGAGCTTCCGAAATGACTCTCTGCTTGTGACAAAGAGGATTAAGATTTTCTAGCATAACTGAAAAAACTACATTACTCCAAGAAATTGATTCAAAACTTGTCCTCTACCCAGATTTTATCCATTGACTCATAGACTGTTAGAGTAGACCTCAGTGTCCTCATCTGTATAATGAAAGGTTTGAAATAATTGCTGTGACAAGGTCAGCAGCTGAGACCAGTTTATCATCATAGCAACAGGCAACTGCACCAAAATGAAGGCCAGCTGAGAAACCACTGCTGGGATAGCCTAGTCAGGTGGCCCTGTGAGAGGAGTGAAGTATAATAATAAAAAAATGGGTAACTACTAAAAAAATTTGAGTAGAGAAAAGTGGTCACTTACAAAAAGAAAAGCAAAAACAGAAAGTGATTTTAAGAAATACATGCTTCAACTTCTGTTTCTGGGTTTATTTTTTTGTATTTAGTGACTGAAAATGAAAGAAAAGACATATCCCAATTATAAGAAATTGTGGTGCAAAAAAAAAAAAAAGGAAAGAAATTGTGGTGGTGCCTATTTGTTGTCCTGGGTTCATGCAACACAAAAGACCTCAGGGGAGGGGGAAGACACTCACACACAGTCTGCAAAAGGAACATGTCCTATGTTGTATTGCTTTATCACCTTCTTTATACCTCCCTCTCATTGCAATTTTCTTCAGCTCCTAGATTCTTTGTATAGCCATCAGCATGCCATTCTTCCCCAAAGAAAACAAAAATAAAAACCATCATTCTAGTATTCACATTTCCTATTTTTTTATACTAGATTATATGAATGGTTTATGCAGTTAACAGAAAGGGGGAGCCTTTGTTTCTATTTTACTATTTTGCCAACCCAAAATTCACTACAAAATCAGAGAAAACAAAAAATTACAGTTGTTATCTATAGAAATAGCATATTAAAATCAAGAAGTGTGAATTTGCCTTTGATTGCAAAACAGAACAACTATAAGAGTGCTGACCAAAACTTAAACTATTGAGAAAACAGCTTGTTTAGAGAAGGGACTCAGAATTTTGGGAATATAGGTGTTGGGGTAACTTTTGATCTTTGCATTAACACTTGAAAATTTCACATTAACCAGGAAGTCACCCAAGTCAAGAACTCTAAACACTTGGTGATTTGTTAGGGAAAGTAAAGGATTTTTTATGTCATCCCTTATAATCACCATGAGACCCTTCTGCTCTTAGATGGTACTACTTTGGCCTGCTCCAGAGGCACAAGCCATGCTATGGCTGCCCCCAACCTTAGCTCAGGTCTCAATGCTTAAGAGTCTCAGTGTTCTGGAACTGAACACTAGTGAGGACTGTACTCTTCAGAACAGTTAAATATATGAGACCAAAAGGGCAGCGTTTACACAGTAACAAACCCCGGAAGGCAGGAAGAAATAGGAAAGAAGATTAACTGGAAATGGGAAACTCAGAGAGGAAGTGGGAAGAGTACTGTTAAATTGAGGGGATGTAATTCATGTCATATGGGCTCGAGTATAGCAGGGATTGTGGGGCTGGTGCGGGATCGGGCAGTGTTTCGTTCTGCTGTGCATGGGGTCGCTATGGGTCGGAAATGACTCAACGGCACTTAACAACAACAACAACAATTCATGTCATGAAACAAAATATGTACACATTATTGAATGGAAAACTAACTTGCTCTGTTAACTTGCATCCAGATCTCACACACACACAAAAAAGTCCCACTGTTTGAATATGTGTCATGTGCTGAAATTGCTTATGAAACTTTGAGGTCAGTCTCTCTTTCTTGTTTTGCTGCCTCACCTTCCCATATACCCACATTGCTTAGAAAGCAGATCTCTAGACTGTGGATACCCGAAATTGGTATTGCCTGACTGGAAAGATCACATTTCCTTAATTTCTTGGGGGAGAGACTTGTTTGACTGGTTGCTGGATGAAAACAAAGAAGAGCAATGAGTTTAACCCTTAGAACTTGCCTGCCACACAGAAATTCCTCCATAAACCTTTCTTCTTTGTCTACTCCTTACTTATATTTTCCATGTTTAAAAGATGTTATTTTTTAAAACATAAAGTAATGAAAATTGTGTAGTGCTGGCACAAAAATAGAACAATAGATTGCAGTCCAGAAACAAACCTAAATGAATACACTTGAGAATTTTGCACTGAGGTGGTGTTTCAAATCAGTGAGGGAAGAATTTGCTAGCATTGCTGAACAACATTGTGGTAGTTAAGGTTGTGTGTCAACCTAGCCAGGCCTGGTTGAGTGGCTGGGCAGCTGGATGTAGTATTCCCCATGATGAGACTGGTAATCAACTCCATAGTGGATCTACTGTGAGCAGCTGAGTAGCTGCCTTTGGGTATATGGTCTGCTTCCCATATATAAGAAGCAACTTTGGGAATGGTCTCTAGTCTTTTGACACGCTTGAATCCTGCGCATAGTCAAGTCGTTGTTCAACAGCCTGCCGTGCCCTGCTGCTCTTGAGACTTCTTCTGAACTTGAATTAGTGCTGTGTTGTTTGGTAATATTGGGACTGTGCCTTTTCACTTGCCGACCTTGGGTTTGTCAGCCTCAGCAGCCAGCAGCTGCCTGAGTGAAGAGATGCCCCTAGCTTCAATGGACCGGGAGCAGCAGGCAGAGCTGAAGCCCAAGGTTGAGGAACTTTAACCCAGATCCTAGAGCCTGGCACTTTGAATTCAGACTTAAAGCCTCCAAACTGTAAGAGAATAAATTCCTGTTTGTTAAAGCCACCCATTTGTGGTATATTCTTGTCAGAGTGGCGCTGGTAACCAAAACAACATAAATTTAAATATCTTCTTACAGTAAAATTCATTCTAGTTGAAATGAAGATTTCAATGTTAAAATATATAAAATCATGGGGAGTGGGGATCCTAGAAGAAAGGAGGAAATGTAACGAACTTCCTAAACAAGATGTAAAATCTATGAGATTGATACATTTGACCATGTTTAAAAATAATAATAATAATGTTTTTACAGTAATCAAAGGAGCTCTGGTGGCACAGTGTGTAAGGCATTTTG